TTTTTTTTTTTTTTTTTTTTTTTTTTTTTTTTTTTTTTTTTTTTTTTATACCACGTCTCACTCTGCGGTAATCGAAGCGAGAATCTGATCGTATTTCGAATTTACTCTAACGACCTTCTATAACTTCTACTTTACGTAGCTGGTGTTACTTCTATTCACGACCGAAAAGTCATTCTTCGTGTGTACCTGCTGGATCTATGGTGTTTGGCTTTTAACGTCGCAACTTTTACGTCGAATATAGTACCGTGTCAAAATCTCCTACGTATATCTATTACATATATATCTAGTACGTCATACAGATTCACACATTACTCGTATACTTCCACGAGTGCGTAACAGTGACTTACGCAAGGTTACCGGCATATTAGATAAAAATGAAAAAATTGCAAAATTTTCATCCTCGACCATGTGCAAAAATATTCATCGAGGACACAAGTCCCGTTTTTATAAGACTGTAGGAGATAAGGGAAAAAAAAGCACCCTCGAATTTAGGCTGCACTCACACTGGTGAACGATAATGAAATCAGAGGTGCGTGCTCTTGCCGCTTTGCAGATTAATTCAGAATCCACGGCTGACAATGATTTACAGCGTAGAGTATCTAGCGATTGATTTTATTATTTATTATTTATTATTGATTTAGCGAATAATCTTTTTATCAATCTTCTAATATAATTCGGTAATTTTAATATGTGGGTATATTTTATTTTTGATCCTCGTTGTTTTTCAGGATATCTCACCCACTCGACTTTACATTTGGTTGATTTGTTTGCAATAATGCACGCATATTTAAACATATATGACGCCTGCGTTCCTTCGCGTTACGTAAGCTTACCGATACAAGTGCAAAATTGCATTCGAGTCGTTTGCAATGTTGCATCTCAAGGACTGAAAAGCTCATATGCATATGAATTGGTATGCAGTGTTTCACTGCTATGAGGGACGAATTATTTAGTATCTACGTGAGTTGTACAGTGTCGGTAAGAGGCTACGAAATTAACATCTTTACTATTGTTTAATTGACAATATCACGAATATAGTATAGGGGCGTGTAAAACTGGAGTTACGTAATTTTCTATTTATAGATATGTCGTGCTTACGCGGAATACCTTTATCGACGAATATAATGCGTCTTGATATCATTCGATCGAACATGGTTTAATGTAACGTAAATCTAAGATAAACCTAAAATACGATAGACGGCAGGTTTGATAATACAACGCGTGTGATATTTAGCAAAATGCTCGTAAATCGCTTGAAATATTGAAGTCAATAATAATCAATTAATTTAATCGATAGATACATTTTAACTTTATTGAAAAAAAAAAAAAAAAAAAAAAAATCTTCGTGACGAAGGCCATTGCATGCGTAAAATTACGGAATGCAATTTTTTTTTTGGCGGATGGCAAGGGGGAATTTTGGGAAAAAATAACACATTGAAGTAGGACGATAAGCGCTCGAACGAGAGTGATTATGAGTTATGAATGAAACGTGTATAAATGGCTTATAGACAGAGTGGTGTTGGAGCGACGGTGTAGAAATTTTTTGAAAAAAAAAAAAAAAAAAAAAACGAAATCTTCGTGACGAAGGCCATTGCATTGTTAGCCTGACGATCAAAGGTCATCGATTAATTAGATATCAATTAATCGACATTGAAAATCAATCAGTCGCGTTTTAATTAGACGTTGACAATATTTTTTGGAAAATTTTTTTTCAAAAAATTAAAATTTTGTAAAAAGATTGGTGTTTGCAACGGATTACGTTATGCGCCTCTTATCCGTTATCTTATTTAAGGACTGATAATGTAATCTACGTTGGTACGATTTTATTAGGGTTTATCGTAAATCGTATGTAATTATAGGAGACGTCCGGTTTGCATTAGGTATACTTTCGTGGTAGATATGGCCGCGCGAACAACATTGGCACGAATACCAACGTGAGGAATCATGACGATGCTACGTTTGTTCCGGCCGATTGGTAACAGGTAGAAATTCGAATTGTACGGTATTCCACTCGTTAGTCGACAAAATAACCGGAAGTCTAGAAACTCGAGTTTAGTCGAGTCACCGTAGCGTGGAATGATTTTTCGCGGGAAATTTTTATTTTACAAGTAATTTATTTGCTTTCAGGACCAGAGAGGACAGACCGTCGTCCGGGATGGTGCTGACCGTTACCGAGGACACCCCGGCGGACATGCTGGCAGGAAGTATGGACCTCCTTGTCCAGCTTCCACGGGAACATCACGTCCATACTCAGAGGGTCACTGTTCAACGGAGGTATTAAGGACTCTTTTTTTTTTTTTTTTTTTTTTTTTTTTTTT